CAGACACTTCTCAGAAACATACCAATGGCCAATAAATGCATGAAAAATATTCAACATCCCTGGCCATTAGAAAAATACAAATTAAAACCAAGATTCCATCTTACTTGAGAAACAATGGTCATCATCAAGAAATCAAATAATAGCAAATGCTGGCAAGCCTATGAGATAAAAGGAACATTTTTACATTAATGTAAAGAAAGTAAACTGTAAACTAGTACAACCACGATGAAATCAGCATGAAATTTCCTTTAAAAAAATAAAAATAAGAATTGCATTTGACTCAGCAATTCTTCTGCTAGGTATCTTCCCCAAAGAATTAAAAACACCAGAACACCATATTACAGTGGAATATGTGTACTATATTTATGGTAGCACAACTCATAATAGCTAAATCTTGGAAGTGCCCTAGATGTCCATCAACAGAAGAATGGATAAAGAAAATGTGATATTTATAAACCATGATGTACTTCTCCCCTTTAAAGAATAAATTGCATCATTTGTGGGAGAATGCATATAACTTGAAACCATAATTTTATATGAAATCAGACACTCAAGCTTTAATATTGCATGGTTTCTCTTCTATGAAAAATTCAAAGTATAAAGAAATTAAAGAAAAAAATAAAAGATGCATAATAGGAACCAGGTAGCTAGATCCTTTGCAGATGGGAAGGGGATCAAGAGATCAACGGGGGATTTAAAAAAAAGGAATGTAACAAGAATCAAGATGTGTCATATTAATGTATCTACAATCCACAAAGAAAATAATCATTTTATACCACAAATATATATGATTAAAGATAAAACATAAACCATCATAGAGTAGAGAGTGGGCTTCTAACTGTAAGTCCCCTGAAGGTGCATAGGTTGCATGCCCATGGAGCCTTCACGTGAGGCTATGAAGACAGGATCTGGTAAGTAAAATGACAAAGAAAAAGAGAAGCACGTAAATTCAGACAAAAGTCTAGAAACATTAAAAGGAGAGAACAGAAAATAGGGGAAGACCTGATAAAAGGAGTTAGATTAAGAGGATGGCAGAAATGCAAATGAAAAAGTGAGCAGACAAGAATGAACAAAGTAAAGACAAATCCAAGTCATTCCACCTACCAAGAACACCTCCAAAGTAAGCAACCAACACTTGTAGTGTGAGCCATCACATCAAGGAGGTGGTGATTCCAGTTACCCCGGAGCCTCATTAGAAGTGGGGGGAAGGACTTGAAAAGAACAATGATTGTGTTATATAAAGCTCTTTCAAAGTCCTTTGAATAGGAAACATTAAATGTGGGTCAATTTTTTTTTTACGAATAAAGAGAACATCTGACAATTGAAACCACACTATCACAACTACCTTTTTAAATGATTGGAGAGATGGGGCACCTGAACACAAGTGGACAAAATGATTCATTATGAAACACTGCTTTATGTTACACAAAATCAGGAGTTAGATAGATGTTACATAAATGATAGCCAAAATGGATTGCCAGCCACTATCCATATGTAGGAAGAATAAAGAACAAATTTATGATGTAGACTTAATTCATATTTCTACTGTACACAGTAATCAAAATAATCAGCTGCTGGTTGAAGTGCATGTTTTGATGTTTTGGAAAAATTCCAATGTATCTGATGTTAGAAAAATTCCAGTGTACACATGTGTTTCAAACAAATTGAGGCTTTCAAATCCACTACCTTAAAAAATTACACTTGTGCCCAATAAAGTTACAATTGCACAAAACATGTTCAGAATCATCTTTCTCTGTTGTTGCTGCTATTGTTGGTTTTATTTGAGACAGAGTCTCGCTATACTGGCCAGAGCTAAAGTCTGACTACATTCCCAATGCCTGGAGCTCATGATTCTCCTGCTTTGTCCTCCCAAGCTGTAGTGATTATATCTATGTGCCACCAAGCTAACTAGTCATTTTTCTTTATGATTACTTTTAACCTGAAAAAAAAAATCTGCAGCTTACTTTAAGTAAAAATCTGCAGACTAAGATGTATCAATAAGTAGAAAGTCAAGAAACTAATTTTTCTATTCAAACAAAGCCATTCTGAAGATCAAAAGAAAATTCACAAAATATTTAAAAATGATTGCAGGATTACAGAGTGAGTAGACTACTGTGGAACCAGAGAAATAAAGAATTATAAACAACTTCTAAGCGTATACAACCTAGTCACAGCTTCCTATTAAATGTATAAAGGCCCCAATAAGTTCAGACCTGCTTGAAGACACACATCAGGCTCAGAGAGAACCCTGATTATAATGTAGCTTACATTATTCTGCATCCATTTTTCTACAGCACTGAGGACCATTTGCCAAAGCTATATGATGTTCTAGAAAGCCATCGATAATCACAGGTATCATCTACAAACCTACTGTATCTTTACCATTCCTGAAAGGCAAGTCACTCAGCCCCAGTTGTCATGGCAATAACTTCTACTTTCAGACTGGTGATTGCATATGTAAAATGCAGCCGACCCAGACAGGAATAAACCTTATTAAAATAACATTCTAAAAATGGCACAGCTTACCTGGTTTGCCTATTCTAAGTTCAAGAATCTTGACTGTAATTGTCATCTAACTTAAATTTAGTCCACATAGCTATATTTAATAGCAGCAGATGATATTCTGTGCTTGGGATTTTAGAGAAGAAAAATAGCTAAGAGTAACTGACTAACATGATATATTGAGATTTCAAGAGTTATTGTGTATAATTTAACATGTACACACACAGAAACTGTTAGGTAAACAGCAAGGTCCTATAGTAAATCTCCTCACTAAGAAGCAATGAAGCTCTGATGTCTCACTTGTTAATCTTTTTTCTTTCCCTTCCTGGTCTTCTCCTGTGCTAGTATATGTTGCTGGGGCCAATTTTTGTTACAAGAACATTAACAGATATTATGTTAATAAGCACCCAGAATTTAGATTTAAAATGGCAAATCCTCTTCTGCTATTTTATAAGGAAAAGTTTTGCCTTCTACATTGCAAGTGGGGGAAGTGGTCTACCAGCAGCTACCAGAAATGCATTTTCCATTCTAACCAGATAGGTTTTATTTCCTAAGTTTCTACTCAACTCATTTTGGTGACAATTTTTCACTTCTACTCCCACCTAAAAATTGACATTATTCACAGAGCAGAAACAAGAATCCTAGGAGACTTAAGTGTCACAATACAAGAGTTGATCCATTTAAACACTCTATGATGCAAACAGGTGATGTTTCCAACATTTCAAATGTGAATGCAAACCTGCGTCACAGCACAGTTTTTACATGCATTTCTCTAGGCATATCAGTATCTAGTAGCAGGGCATGACACATCAGTATTCTCCACCACCATATCTGCTCTCCAGAAAGAAAGTCAAAGTCAATCACTACCTAAAATCCAAGCTTTAATCCTGTCATGGTAGTACATGCCATTATTGCTGCCGTCTGGGAAGCTGAGACAGGAGGATCACAAGTTCCAGCGTAGGCAGGGCAACTTAGCAACTTAGAGAGACTTTGTCTCAAAACAGAGCACAAAAAAGTCTGGCAGAGTAGCTCAGTTCAAAGGCCCTTGGTTCAATTGCCAGTGTGACAGATAGTTGATTGATAGATTAAAATCCAAGTTTTCTAAGACATTCTGTATCAGCAGCACTCATATCTCTTGCTATACTTACAAACCAACACTTTCCTCTCCCTCCCTCATTCACTCACTGGGCTTCCTGAAACTTTGGAACAATGACCAACAAACCCACTCATACTCTTCACCTTTTCCTGGAATGTCTTTTTGCTCCTACAGTTATCTAAAATTGTTCTCTGCAGCTGTCTCGGGGACAGAAAAGGAGCCTAGCTTTTTAAAAAATCCATATAGATGCTCCTAAATCTTTCATTTTTCTAAAAGCTTTCAAAACCCATCGCTCCTCTGAAGCTGTCCTGTTTTACTATGCTGCCCGACCTTTTGTAACTCTCCTCTGTGGCTTTGTTGTATGGATCTCCCATGGATTGGAGACACTGCTACCTGACATGCCTTCCACTCCCGTTCCTCATTCACCTGTACTTCAGCAATCATAAAGATGACTCATCAAAAGCTTTGGTTTGCCAGTTTGTTATTGAAGTTTTATGTACTTCTCTACTGTCTCAGTTACTCATGCCACTGTGCCTCTGAAACTTTGCTGTCATCCATGAATGCACTGTCTTAATCTGTTATCTATTGCTGTGACTGAATACTAAGGACTGGGTAATTTATAAAGAATAAAATTTTATTTTGATCACAGTTCTGAAAGTTGGGAAGTCCCAGGTCAAGTGGCCACACCTGGCAAGGGCCTTCTCAGTGGTAAGGATTCTCCGCAGAATCACAAGGCAATGTGAGATGTCACATGGTGAGAGAAAGGCACAACCCAAAGACAGCTCTAAATTGACTTTTATAGGAGACTCACTCCAAAGTTAATACCTTCACCCACTGATCCAGCTGTTCCAAGGACAGAGCTTGTATGAACGAGAAATCACCTCCTAAAAGTCGTAGGATGGCCCTACCTCCTGACTCTTTACAACAGGGATTCAATGTCAACACGTGTTTGGGTGGGGACATTCAAACCTTCGCATACATCACCACCAAAACCTTCATTTGAAGCTGTGCACTCTGACCGCGCTGCTCCTCCAGATCACTCTTAAGCACCCTCCTCATTAACTGCGTTTCATTCTGTCTGCACCTAGAGCCTTGCCATTTTTTATTTTCTTCCTGTCTTTACTCTTCTTCTCCAGTTCAGTCTGGATTTCATGGGCCGTGGCTATGCTCAATCTACTGAAAATCTCCACAACTTTCTTCGCCTGTCTTACGCCACTGTACTTAAATGAAAGGAAAAAAAAATAGAACTTTTTTTTTGTTATGTTTTCTTTGCCTGCCACTCAGCAGCTGGATATTGCTAACAAATATCACACGTTGATTAGTTAGCTTTACATTGCTTTTATGATAACATATATAGAACAAGCAGCCACCAATCCCAAGCACCCTGATAACTTTTCTTAACTGAGTTCTGCTTTTTGCTTTCCAAGACGACCTTCGTTTCTCCTCAGACCACTTCTCTCTCCTCCCGGGTGAAAATCTCATCTCAAAATTCTTGAAAGAAAAGAAAGTATTAGATTAGAATTCTGTTATAGCTCTACCAGCAACTCTATAAATGTTTCCTGTTTGCAATTTTAAAAGTGTCGTTACACCTATCAAAAGCAATTGTTCCCACGTGTGCTTTTGCCACAACCTGTCACCTTTCCAGGGTTTTCTCAATTTCCATAATCTTCTCATACTCTGCTGGTTTTTTCCCTGGTTTGCAAATATGTAAAGTGTGTCTCATCTTTTAAAAAGAACCTCAAACTGAATGACACCAAAAAACTACAAATTAAATAAATAAAGAATCCCCAAAATTTCCAGAAATCATAGCCCCCACCCCAGGAAACATTTTTTTTTCTCTTTTCTCAGAAAATCTCATTGAATGAGTCTCCTTTCCCTATTAGGTCCCCTTTCTTTTCAATTTATTCTTCAACATTTTTTTCTTTAAGATTATCAGAAGTCTTTTACTGCAGGATCCACGCTCTTTGTGTTGTTGTTGTTACCGTATTCATATCTTCAATAGCATCCCTTGAGGATCACATTTTGCTCACACTTTAAAAAACTGTTTACAATAATAACTTCCAAACTTATATCTAGATCCAAGTCCAGACCTCATCACTGTCTATTTCAAAACTTCTCTTAAACATGTAATAGGTATTGCATAAGGCAAACAGACCCCTTCCACCAAGTCTTTCCCAACTAAAGAAACAAAACCATTACTGAATCGTTCAAATTAAAAATCAGTGACTCTTTCCTTTCCTCATACTTTCTAATATATCAGTAAGCCCTGTTGTTTCTACCTCCAAAATACACCTCGAGTCAGGTCACCACTCCCCATCTTATGGCCGTATTCCAACCCCACGTCTCTCTCCAGGATGTCTGCTTTCCAGAGTCTCCGGATCATTTGTTTCCTATCACCCTTAAACACTACTACTCATCTTCCACAATCAAATGTTAAAAGCTCACTATGTGCCAAACATCGCTAAAGACATGACTGCTACTCCTAGTCTTTGGATGAGAAAATCCTGTGTTCCTTCTGATCTGAAACAGTCACACCACAGGACATTTTAAAATTCTCTTCCTTGAGACTCGGCAATTATAGCTGACAGAAGGGACTAAAACACAGCACCGGCACTTTTGCAGAATCACAGTAGTTGAAAAGGCTTTCCAGAACCTTGACTTGAAAGATTTCTGTCATTGACATAGTGAAACACATAATGTATTTAAATCAAGAAACCAAAGGCTTGCATTAAATATTTAAATTTTATATTCACTTTATGTTTCTGGATAATAAAAGAAAAGGTCTTTTGATCAGCAGGTTTCCTGCCACTTCCCCTGGGTCCAATATCAGGCCAAGCCCATTTCACAGGCAGTGCTGCTGGGATGGACAGCGGCTGCTGCAGTGGTGTTGACTGCTTTGTGACATTACACCTAAACACTTACTCTAAGAAGTGTTTCTCTTACGGGAGTCTGATTGGAGGGAACCGTGGCTGCTAGCAGACGTGGAATTAAAGTGCCTCATCTTCCCTCTCCTTTACATGGAGAGCAGGTCTCCACATTCAGTGGAAGAGGAAGGAAAGGAGAACTGACTAAAACTGAACACTACGCTACTTAACACTACGCAAAACCAAACACTACGCACTGTTTGGTTTTATGAAACGCATTTTTTCATAATATTAATGAATTTTTACATTTTGAAAATAAATGATTTTTATTTTGAATCAAAGGATCTCAAACCGGCTTAACTATTGTGATTCTTAAAATAAAATTTGAAACACTTAAATTTATATAACAATGTAAAATAAATGACAATATAGAAAAAAAAGAATACATATTGAAATCTTCAGGTATTATTTAGAAACAGGAGAATACTGTTCAAAGTATCTTGGCTCAGCAAAGGACTGCTGGATCTCGACAAAGGAGTGGATATCAATACCCCCAAACATCATCTATGGCATGCTTTTTCCAATCTTTAGCTTCGCAGAACTGACACTTCATTGGGCAAAGGTCATGGCTCGGTAATAGAGTGATTTCCTAGCATGTGTGAGGCACTGATACAAAAAAGAAAATACATTGGAACTTTATGGTTATCATATAGATCTTCTTGGCCTCCCCACTCACTTCAGCCACTACTTCAGCGATCAATTCCAAGTAAGCCTCCACCAGGCCCACAAAATACAACCTGACAGTGTCCCACCTTTGCCTGTACTTCTTTTCCCTTCCTCCTGCTCTGGGGCTTTGGTGAGGTTGACATCACTCAAGCTTGTACCATCTTGTAGGGAACACAGTTGCACTACCACTGACCACAGGGAGGGACAGGAGATGATGGATAGATGCTTCCATCTCTTGGTGCCTAGCTGGGCAGTTCCGAAATCCTGTTTGATAGGCCCCTCAGAGGATGCTAGCAACCACATATCAAGGTACCAGGCAACACATAGCAGTGGCAAACTGATAACTCATCATTATTTTTGCTTTCCCTCTTTCCCCAATTCCAGGTCATTAGTGCTTACCTGCTGTATCATCAGATTGGTCTCCATATAAACTTGTATGCAAGACCAGTCTTAACTCTGTTTCCAAAGGAAACAGGGCTGCCAAACTTTTGTTTAAAGAATCTTATAGATTGAATAAAAAGGATGTTTTTAACTAATTATAAACATTTATAATTACAACTATATTATGAAGCAAAATGCACATTTCACATTCATTTGTATCTTACAGTGCCATATTTTTAAAGTCTCACACTTGCAGGGGGTAACACAGAAAACCCTCTCACAAAACGAAGGTCACTGCAGTAGAAGCAGCTTAAGTCTTTCTGCAGCAGGATATTACGCTGGTGCCTTCAGTGTCTGTGAGTCAACTTTTACCTACTTGTCTGAATCTCCTTGTCTAGGTACTTTTCTCTGCAGCTTCTGAAAATCTAATCTTCCTGAACAAACAGTAGGCCAAAAGGAATTTCCTCTCTGGAAAAAGCCCTCAACCTACGACTGATTGGAGTAAGGAATTAATGCTCAGGTTTCCGTATAAAGTATTATAGATGACTGATATGTAGGTGATGATTGATTAAATAGATAGATAGATAGATAGATAGATAGATAAGTAGGTTAGATATCCACATATAGATACAAGTACAGCTCATGTATAAGGTGCAATATGTCTAAAGAATTTATTCTATACCATTTCCCACTTTCCCTCTGAGATTAAGTGCCGGTGGTCATTAGTAATAACTGGGTTGATAATGTATTTCACATTGGCTGCCTTTCCTATCCTGTCTCACTTCCCCATTTCCCTACTGGCATTTCCTGCATTTCTCAAATAAGTATTTTGTGCTAAGAAGCTTGTCTCAAAGTCTGTTTCTGTGGGTACCAAAATGGAAACCATTTTGCTAGTATAAAAATCTGTCAGGCATTTCCTGAAGTTATATACGGTAGGAATACTAATTTTTACAAAACTGGTTCAGCAGTTTTATCCAGTAGTGTTAATTCAGTTTAACTGAAATCCAAAAATGAAAAACATCACACCTTAATTCACAAGAATGTCTGTAAGAAGAAGTGGGTATGCAGATCAATTCTTAAAATACAAGTGCCTCAGGGTTAACATGACTAGGGGCTAAATTAGGGTGCAATTATTTATTGGCTGGGAATGTTTGGGGTTTTTATGAGTTGGTGGTACATTATATTTATACTCTTCTTGTTTTAAAATATTTTTACAAAAATCATCTGATGAATTCTATTTTTTTCACTGTAGCACAAATGAAGAATAGCTAAAGTGAGTTCAACCACCCTCTTGATCTTTTCATGATAGTCTCTTCAATGTCAAACTGCTGTCTGAGGAATATATTTTTAACATTCCAATATCACACTGCATTGCTTAAGATCCCAACCCTCACCTTCCCCACAGACATACCATTTTTATGAAAGATAAAATTGAATCAAGGAATTTGCCTGAGGCAAGGCGATGGAGGAGATAGCGGCTTAGGTTTATGTCTCCGCAAAGTGAAAAGAAATACCTGTACATAGTTTCTGCTTTAGAAATTGTCACATTAAATTTGGTTTTAATGAGTTCTTTCTCATTGCTGGTATGTAAACAACATAATTCTTTGAAATTTTTCCTGTCTTCATCCTACCACATCCACAGATTTCCTCAAACTCTAAGAATAAAAAACATTGTTCTGATGCAGTCAGAAGAGAGGTACAAAAGTATAGGTCTTCCAAAAGATCTTATCCAAATCCTGTGATTTAAGGCAGACTTAGGTGAGGGGATGGGAAAGGGCTGTCATCGCTCACCACAGAGGAGAGGCTAGCAGTTGACTACTCTGTGTAAATCCTTAAGAGAAATATTTACTGGGCTCTTTCTGTGTACTAACGATTATACTAGTGTCTGGTAAATCAATATTTAGTAATTCATATTTATTCAACAATCCTCAAAAAGCTGAAAACTTAGTGTATAAGCAGAAAAAGCAAATCCTAGGTTGTAAATGTGGATGCCTGAGTTGCTCCCTGAAGTGTCATAGGGGCTGAGGAAGGAGCTCCTAAAGCTGAGGATTCAAGTGCACAAGACATCACATTCCCTGCCAGGTCTTCATGGAAAAGTTCACTCTCTTCTCGCCAATCTTTCCAAAATGTTTGGCAATCAAAAGACATTTTTGCATCTTTCTGTTAACTTATCTAATACTTAGAACTTAATGTAGCAGAAATAAAACATTTGATGAGGCAAAATGTTGTCATGTGTTACATAACAAAGGGGATCCCTTCTGAGAAGTGTATGATTAGCAGTTCCATCATTATGTGAACATTGTGGGGTACAGAAACACAAACAAGGCAGTCACACCCTCACAAAGTAACATAAAATTCTGGAAGCCTCTTGCATACGTGGTCACCCTGACTGAAATGCCACTATTCAGTGTATGACTATAGTCTCAGGTAAGATAATCTCATTGCTTCCACTGGGATAGTCTTACCTTAAAGTGTGAGATTGATTCATTTATCCTAGCAACAACACTTTGTTTGTAAGGA